GATGAGATGGATCGATTCTGTGAGTGAAGTGGTGGGAATGAGTGCGTCGGAGAGGGTGAGGTTTGCACAGGATAGAGCACCATTTAGGGCTCTTATACATAGAGTCGCTATGAGTCACAAGTGACTCGACGACACCTAACAACAACAACAAAATAGAGAAGTCAAATAAACAACAAAAAATCCCATAGCGCTGTTCTACACTATTACATCTGTGGTTGCCATGTGTCAGAATTGACTAGATGATAGTAGAATCCACCTGCCCCCTCTTGCTTTGAGTTTTTCGGTTTGTTGTTGTCGTTTTGTGGGGGTTTGGTGTGTTTGTTTGTATGAGGTACTATTAAGTTGGAGAAGAGTACTGACTATCCCACGGACAGTCCAAAGGACCACAGATGTCTTTGTGGAGGTGCAGCCAGAGTGGCCCTTGCAGGCCAAGATTATAAAGCTTCATGTCACATACTTTGGGCATGTTCCTAGGTGAGGAGAAGGTGGAGGGATTGTGAAAAAGAGAAAGACCTTCAACCGAGTGGACTGATGCAGTGACTGCAGCAATGGGCTCGAGTGTGTCTGAGATAGTGAGGACGGCACAGGGTAGGCCAGGGTTTAGATCTGACTTTCAAGAGGTCAGTATGAGTCCTATTAGACACAAGGTCACTAAAAAACAACTATTAAGTTATTCTTTCACTGTCAGTCTTCAAGTGAGAATCAAACTCAGCCCCTCCAGAGGATTATCAAGGCTATTAATCTCACCAGAAAAGATTGTCCTTCAATGAATGAGTGGAAATCCAAAATCTCTGTAAATGTTCATTGAAATTAATAAAATAAAATATATTAAGAAAAATAAAAATATGTCCTTGTTTCTCCTGAAGAGCTGCTGTTGGATTCAAACCACCAGAGGGGCATACCTCAGGGTTGGAAAAACAACTCCCTATGGATCACATCATCAAAACCCCCTTACTCTTTCACCAGTCAACCCATTTTATAAGCGAGGAAATCCAAGGTCACAGCAAGCAAATGCCAGAGCAAGACTTGAGCACAAGCTGCCCAGCCCCAGGTCTCTTGGCCGCTCTCTGTGTTACCCTTACAATCAGGCTGCCTCCACTGACCCCCACGAGCTTTCCCACGGCAGGGGAGACCTGTGCACGATGGTAAGGTAATGACGCAGCTCTTCTTTGCTTTCCAGGCTTTGGAGGTGCCCTGGGCTACATGTTGGGTGCCATAGACTGGGCCCACCTGGAACTGGGGCGAGTGCTGGGCACGGAGTTCCAGGTGATGTTCTTCTTCTCCGCCCTGGTGCTCACTTTGAGCATCGTCATCCACCTGTGCAGCATCCCCGAAGCCCCCCTCAGAGACGCTGCACGGGACGTGCGCCCGGAGCAGACCAGCCAGGACCCGCTGCTGCCATCCCTCGGGGTGTCTGAGCACGGCTCTGTGGAGAAAGCCAAGAACTCTTACGGCAGCGCCAAGCTGGCATCAGAGGGAGGGGGGGAAAAGCCCTCCTCTGAAAGGGTAAATATGCAAATTATTTTGTCTTCACTTAGAACAAAAATGCTCTTGCTCTTCTTACCTTTTCTTTCTTTCCTTTTATTTTTTTGTTACTGATCTCTGTCTTTGTTTGTTGTTGTTTTCCCCCCCTCTGAGTTGTAATGAAGTCTAATTGAAATTTTAAGGAGCTCTGGTGGCCTAGTGTGTTACCAGCCCAAAGGCAGGAGGTTTGAACCCACCAGCTTTTATGAGGGAGAAAGATGGGCAGTTTCCTCCCATGTGATTTACAGCCTCTGAAAACCCACTGGAGGGTCAGCTATGACTTGATCCCGATTCAAAGGTATGTAACAACAACAGCAGCAATTGAATCCTCAGGATCTCCGTAGTTATTATCCCACAGCATCAAACCTTTTCTTTAAAATCAAGGACTTTTCTTTACCCTTGCATGTCCCATGGCTTTAGATTTATGCGTCAGGGACAGAAGTGATTTTGAAAGGGTAAGTTTAGACCACCAGAGAAACCTGAGCCCATCCTGAGGCCAACAGAAGTATCTTTGCCTCATGGATTATAATTGCAAATCTATTCCTCCCAGTCACCACAGTCCTGGTTTAGTGAAGGGTCTGGCCCTGTTGAATCTGTGTGTTATGATTTGATTAGCTGCTCCTACAAGGCCATTTCCAGTGAACTCATTAATTTAGTAATTTAAAGATAACTCAGCAAAATGCCAGAGAACAGAATCAGGCTAAAAGTGGCATGGTCAGAAGAGAATCTAGAACTGTGCTGACTGATACAGTAGCTGCTAGTGCCTTGAGACTATGAAAATGAAATTTTTATAAAGTTAAGGCCTCAGTTGCAACCGCCAAGTTTCAGATATCACTAGCACTGTTAGACCGTGAAATTACGGGATTGAGCAGATAGGGAAGATTTTCATTGACAGTTACACTGGGCAGTACTGATACGAAGTCTCCCTCCTCCTTCCAACTGAGCTCCAATGCCAATTCCTCAGGGATTTGGTACAAAGATGATGGCAAAGACATCATCTGATTCTGCCAGCTGGTAGACCAAGGTTTTTTCTTCAAGGACTGATTTCCACCCCAACCTCCTTTTAGATATTTGTATTGGTTTACACAAAAAATTGAAGGACATTGCTTCATTCATATACATTGTGTTTCACACATCCCTTCATCCACATTGTGTTTTATACAGTCATTCCCCAAAATTGTGTTTTATAAAATTCATAACTATTGTATGGAACACAGTGTGAATTTAGGATAGCGTGAAGCACAATGTATATGAACTTTGTACTCAAACCAATATAAAATAAAAACTTAAAAAAATAATCACCATTGACTTATACCCACACTTTATTAGTCTTTCCCGGTCCCAACTGAGTATTTTCTAATTCTTTCACCCCCTCCTCCTGCTCACCAAACTCTGCTGACCCCGTGATTCCCTTCCCTTCTCTTCAGCCCCCTTGACTTTTTCCCTTCCTCCTTTGGACTTTTGTACATATTTTACTAGTTATCCTCATATTTTGACAATCGTGTTCTTATGCAATATTTGTCCTCATCAGACTGAGTTAGTTCATTCAGCATAATGCTCTCTAGCCACTCCTTAGTGCTGCTCCGGAGTCATTTCCATCGTGTGACTTTCTCAATTCATTCATTTGCTGATGGACATTTGGGCTGTTTCCATTTTCTTGCTATTGTAAGTAACCCTGCTGTGAATGTTGCTTATAAATCTTCATTGGTGCCTCAGTTCTATTTTCCTTGGGGTATATTTCTAGCAGTGGAATAGCTGGGTCATATAGGATTTCTGTGTTAAGCTTTCTGAGGAAGCACCAAACTGCCTTCCAGAGTGGTTGTACCATTTTACAATCCCACCAACAGTGTATGAGAGTTTTTGTCCCTCCACATCCTCTCTACCATTTATTGCTTGCTATCTTTGGACATGTTGTGAGGAGAGACTGGTTCTTGGAGAAGGACATCATGCTTGGGAGGGTGGAGGGACAGCGCAAGAGGGGAAGGCCCTCTATGAGGTGGATTGATTCAGTGACTGGGATAATCGGGACGGGAGTGTCAGAGACAGTGCAGTTGGCACAGGACAGAGCAGAGTTTAGGGTTGTTGTACATAGTATGAGTCGCAAACGACTCAATGGCACATAACAACAACACAACAATCTGGATCAAGACTTCTAATTAATTAAGTGATTATTGAGCATCTGTTCTTGTCTGTTGTCAGGTCCTGTTGAGTCAGTTCTGACGCATGGTGACACTGTTTGCTGTTAAGAGAACAGAAGCCTGTCCTGTCTTCCACCATTCCCACCCTGCTGCTGTGCATCAGCCCACTGGTGCAAACATTGTTCTGATACTCAAAGTCTCTTTTTCATTGATCCCTTACTTGTTTTTGCTGTTGTAGTTATGCGCTGTCAAGTTACTCACGACTCATAGTGACCCTATGTACAGCAGCTCTGAAGCCTGCCATATCCGGAGCCAGTCTCACTGACTCAGACATGCCTACCCCCATTACCCCAGTTACTGTATCAGTCCATCTCATCTGGGGTCTTTCTCTCTTGCTCTGTCCCTCCACTATTCTGAGCATGATGTGCTTCTCCAAGGATTGCTTCCTTCTGGTCACATGCCCAAAGAATGTGAGATGGAGCTTCAAAATCCTAGCCTCCAAGGAGAAACTTAGTGTCACCCTTTCCAAGACAGACCTGTTTGTTCTCCTGGCAGTCCATGGTATGTACAATACCCTTCTCTAACACAACTTGTGTATCAGAATATAAACAACAAAAGCCAGTTTCTGACTGGTCATTCCTCCCTTGTTGTTGTTAGGTGCCATTAAGTCGACTATGACTCATAATGACCTTATTAACAACAATCTGAACCCTGTCCTATCCTGTGCCATCCTCACAATCTCTGACACACTAGAGTCCATGCAGTCATTGTGTCAATCCATCTGGTTGAGGGTCTTCCTCTTTTTCACCATCCCTCCACGTTCTTACGCATGAGGTCCCTCTCCCAGCAACATGCCTGAAGTATGTAAGATGAAAACTTCACTGTCTTTGGCTCCAAGAAGCACTCTGGTTGCACCTTTTCAAAACATATCTATTTGTTCTTTTAGAAGTCCATGGGATATTCAGAACTCTTCTCTAACACCACAATCCAAAGGTATCAATTCTTCTGTCATCCTTATTCATTGCCCAGATTTCAGATGTACAGCAAGTGATTGAAAAACAAAGGTCTGAATCAAGTGCACCTTAGCCCTTAAAGCAACCTCATTACTCTTCTGTAGTTTGGCAAGGTCCCTGCCTGCAAACTTTCCCAGTGCAGTATGTCTCCTGCTCTCCTGACTGCTTCTCTGCCTTACTTGTGGAGACCCTCTGAGGATCAGGGTGTAACTCTACCCATTGTGTTTCCTGTAGCTGTGATCTCGTGGAAGCAGACCACCAGGCCTTGCTTCTATGGCATCGCTGGGTGGATTCTAAACACCAATCTCTCAGCTTGTAGTTGCGTACTTGCCATTTGTGGAGTCAAACCTATGAACAACAGATCTGAATCCTGCCCTACCCTGGGCCATCCTTACCATCTCTAATACACTTGAGCCCATTTCTGCAGTCACTATGTCAATTCATCTCATTGGGGTCTTGTCTTTTGCTGCCTCTCCACTTTTCCAAGCAATTGTTGCTCCTAGCAACATGTCTACTAACGTATGAGAGATGAAGCTTTGCCATTCTTGCCTCCAGGGAGCACTCTGGTTGTACCATATATACATACATACATACATACATACATAAATACATACATGCATACATACATACCTGTTTGTTCTTTTGGCAGTCCATGGAACATTCAGTATTTATCTCTAACATAATAACTCAAGTGTATTGATTATTTTCCCATCATCCGTAGTCATTGTACAGCTCTCAGATGCATAGCAAATGATGAAAAAGGCCATTGCCTGAATCAGGCACACCTTAGTCTTCAAACTGACATCATTGCTCTTGAGTATTTTGAAGAGGTCTCTGACAATGGATTTGTTCACGGCAATATGTTTCTTTATCTCATGGTTGCTATTACCAAGGGTGTTGGTTGTGGATTCAAGGTAGAATAAATCATTGACAGTTTCAACCCTCTCTCCATCTATTATGCTGTTGCTTACTGGCCCAGTGGGAAAAAGCTTTGTTTTCTTGATGTTTAGTTGTAACCCATAAAGAAAGCTCTTGTCTTTGGTCATCTGTTCTCCTCACTATTAGCAAGTAAGGGTGTGTAATCTGCCTAATGTCAACATGGTAGAAGATAATACTATAAAAGAAACATATCAAATTAGGTGTCCCAGAAAGTTAACACCAAGGCTGAACTATATATGTAAGTGATGTACTTGGGAAGAAGGAGCCACATCTCCACACCATGAAGCAGGTCCAACTTTGGTGAAGGAGAAAGGGAGGCAGGTGAATTGGGCGGGATGTAAAATTGCAATGCAGTTTTTAGAATGTTTCATTCAGAGCAATGTGGTATCCTTGAGGTAAAGTAATGGATTAGAGAAGTGGTATATCTTGAGGGAGCTTGATGGCCTAGTGGTAAGGATTTGTGCTGCCAATTCTAAGGCAGATGGTTCAAATCTACCAACTGCTTAGCAGGAGAAAGAAAGTCTCTTCCCATTCCTTTTTTAGCCTCAGAAAACCCTCTGGAAGGCTGGCTGTGAGTGAGATCCAACTCAGCAGCACACAGCAACAAACCTTGAGGAAACACTGGTGCCCTAAGGTAGTGTCTCTGGAAGTTCAAATCCACCCGCAGTTCCTCAGGAGGAAGATGGACAATCTTCTCTGGTGAGATTCAGAACCTCAGAAACCCCATGGAGTGCCAGCTAGGAATCAGTTCTGACTTGACAGGAGAGAGAGAGAGAGAGAGAGAGAGAGATTTCTTATAGATGCAGGCATAGCTTAGTCCTCCAACCTTGCTTAGCCGTTGGTGGGAGCAGCGTGATGGAAAGTAGAGTGACTGGGTGGTCTGTACACAGGG